GTTTTAATTTGATAATCAAGAAATTGAGCTCGTAATTCAATAATATTAGTAAGGAGCTTTGGAAAAGCCTGATTTCTAGTGGATAATAAACACACATATGTCCATCGAGTGGAAGCATCTATCAAGACCATAAAATATCGAAAAGGTCCCGAAGTGGGATGAATAGGACCACATATATAACCTTGAATCCTATGAAGAAACATAGGAGATTCAATTCCAACTTTAGTACGTGAAGGTCTTAATATCAATTTTCCCTTTGCACAAGCATCACAAATAAATTCATTAAAAGAAGAAAGACTGTTGTTTGATACGGTATGCGCAATAGAGTTAGAAATAATCCGACGCATCATACTAAGCCCAGGATGACCCAATCGCTCATGCCATAATTTAAATAAATTTGGGTCTTTAAATTTTACGCTCAATGCAACATGATTAATAGAAGGTCGAATGTAAGTATGGTATAAGCCTGAGGAGAAAGAGGGAAGTTCTTTGACAATTTCCTTTTGCCTTCCTTGTGAATGAGTCATAAGAAGATACTCTATATTATTTTCAGTCTTAGTTTCTAGATGAAAACCATTTGATCGAATATCTTTAAAACTAAGGATTGTTCATTGCGATTCAGGGTACAAAAGTGCATCATTAATTATTAATTCAGTACCCTTAGGAAGAGTAATTAAAGCTCTGCCGGAGCCAACTATCAAAGTTTCATTTAAAGTTTGAAAAAATTTCCTATCTTTCAAAATAGTGTGCGTAGTAGCACTGTCGACCAGACACAAAATTGCCTCTTTCTCCATTAGATGCAAACTAATGAACGGTTGTGGATAATATTTATGTCAATATTTATATTTGTGTTGGTATATTGTATGCTCATTTTTAAGAAAATAAAATATTATGGATTTAACTAATCTTGCTCTGTTAGACTAAAAAGGAGCAACTTTGATCACATGTAATCAACATAATATAAAGTACTGGTGCATATAATACGACATTGCCATATAATTATCGAATGGCAGAGGTAAATTTGATCAAATGAGCATTATTTATCCCACATATTTCAAGCCTTTAGAATTTAATATTCACATAAATGCAAATATTGTCCCATATAAATAATCGCATGGCATACGTAAGTAAATTTATCAAGTCATTATTATTTAACCCACAAAAATTCAAGCCACAACTTGACATTTTCACAATCCAAAATTTAACAAAAAGAAAAGGATATTAGTCTCTGTGATGGAAGGACTTTGGAAGTTTTTTAAAAGAATGAAAAACTCATCTATTAAAGTTATTTATTTGATGCACCGGATTGTTAAAAAGGCATTAAACTCTTTCAGATGACTGTCTTGATCTTAAGTCAGTCAAAAACCTTTATATACAAATGCAAGATCAGATATGAGATCAATTTAAAAATGATGATAAACTTTAATTAAACAGCACATTAAAACCTTTTGCAAAAACCTCCATTATCTCAATCCTAAATAAATCTGTATGCAAATGAACATACTAAGTCTAAAATTCCCAAGCACATGAAATTATATTTGGACATGTCATTACCAATACCGAAAATCAAAATATAAGACTTTAGGAACCAAACTGAATCATATATCGACATAACAGAAGTCTACCAATTAATATTGATTTTCGGAACATATAATTTAGAAGTTAGATAGCATGGCCCAAAACTTTCATTCGTAATGTAATTTAGAAGCAAGTTCTCAGCACATGCGGGATATACAAAAGTTAACAGAATTTGTTTTGGGCTTCCGCATCAATGTTCAGAAAAATTTATCACAACAATCAAACTCATACAAAAATCATCAATTCACTCTTTTGGAGATAAATAAATATAACTGAAATTGATTAAACCAATAGATCATTATTGATATTGAATAGATCTTGAATGTTACCTTTACAGAAAAGACACGCTTCTTTTCTAACCTCTATTTTCTATTGTTACTTTGATTGCTCGTTTGTCTTGATGCCGCTGCCGTTCGCTTAGATGGTAGAGTACTCGTGCTGCTAACGTATTGTAATACAGATTGACAATATGTAAGATCAATGTGTACGATAGATAGACAAAGAAAGAGAAAGAGATACGCCGTTAAAATCATCATCTCATTCACTTGAGGCCCTAGATATAAAAGAATCATCTTATTTATTATATAAAAGAATATAAAAGAATACAATGTACAATGACTAATGACCTAATGGACTCCTAACCCATATCTACAAAGCATATATCTAGGTAATCTCCACAAATTAATACTTACAACAATTTTAACATTAATTTCACATATAATCACTATTCACATAGTCACATAATCGAGTACTTACAACAATTTTAACATTAATTTCACATATAATCACTATTCACATAGTCACATAATCGAGTATGTAAGTACTCAGTTTATATATTGTAGTTGAAAATGAATTTTTACTTACCTAAGTTCGAGTATTAGTTTAGTTTGTATAATCTTGATCTCGAACTTCAGAAATTGCCTTCTCTTACTATGCATTATTCCTAGGTAAAGGTATGTTATTTATATAACTAAGTAGCCGCCTTTATTTGATGAAGTTTCGATGTGGGACAAAAGCAACAATATTTTCATTTTATAAGCACTTAACGGTGGTTTATTATTCTAAGAAATAGATGTGGGATACAAAATTTGGAAAGTTGCATTTAGTCCATTACTGCGGCCCTAATATTTCTTGTTTATCCATGATGGTGAGCAAAGAAAACTTACAGGCATACAACTCATTTTATTTGCACCAAACTAATACTAAATATAAATAGTTATTTAATTATACTCTATTAGTGTGGTACCCGTGCGCACGGGCTAATTTTATTAAGGTAAGTATTTAGATTTGGATGATTGGATGATTTGAAGAATATAAAACGCATGTATTGGAAAAAAATAAACTGTAACTTATATATTCTTAAACACATCCTTGTACACAACATTATTTGTTTCGTCTTTTGGTACATCGTCTATCACCACAAATTAAAATTTTTAAACCCTTAATATTTGAAGCACGTGAAACAGATACATAAAACTGGTCGTAAAGGTTATACAATCAAATATAAATCCAAATTAATAGTGTTATGTGTCGTTTTATCTATGTCAATGTGCATTTTGGCTAAATCGAACGGTAACGACCACCACCCCCGAGTGCCGAAGTAATTAAAAGACTCATGCTGAAACTCCACCTGCAGAAAATAACCTACATTTGTGTTAACCATATCTAAGAAAATAAACACTTGACACCTATATATATTAGGATTCTAGATAGGCTTAAATAAATCAATTAAATTATTTAGTAGGATATATATGATATGATTTATATTGGTCTTATGAAGATTGCATAGCCAAATATAATGGAGTTTGTAAAACGTCTTTCTTGATAATCTATAGCCTTATTATATTAAAATTGTAAATTCTTAATTTAAGGAATGAAAAAATTGTGTACGTTTATTCAATCAATTTCAAATTTGTATTCTAGAAAATTAAAAAAAACCCAAATTTTATAGGATGTTCCAATCGGATTTTATTTTGAATTTCAAATTAATATTATCTGATTTTCTGCTTTATGTTAAAACAAATCAAACTAAAGAAAGTAGTAACCAATGATAAGGAATTTTTATATTTTAATTTTCAATTTGAAATTGAACTCATTTTCTATGCAATTCAATTTTTTTTTTATTTTTTAATAAACATGATCTAATACAATTTGGTAAAGACATATGATATAATTTCGCTTAATTCAAAATTTCCAATTTTATGGTAAATATATTTTTTTTAAATAAAAAATGAGAGAATTTTGACTTTTACAAAATTGTCATGCCGAATTTTACCTAAATTAACCCGATTTCTATGCAATCCGATTTTTTAAATCAATAATTGATCTGTTGCAATTAAGAAAAAATATATGTGATAGTATTTTGCCTAATTCGAAATATTGGATTTTATGGTAATCGGTTTTTTAATAAAAAATGATAAGTCGAAATTTACCTAAATTAAATAAACAAAACCCATAAATTTAGGGTGCATATATAGTTGACCGATTTTTTGCGAATAATTTAAAAAGAAAATTCAAAAACTGCTGAAAATAGAATGCAGTAGGTGCTTAACCTCTGGAATTGAACATAATGGCAAGATGAATTCAACAATAGCACGGTTGAGCAGCATGCCCAGAAAAATAACTAATTCAAGGCCTCAACATAAAATTCTTCCTTCTTAGTTCTTATTAAAGCTTTAAACATCCTAACTTTACTTCTTTAACTGAAATTTACAAACGTTTTGCAGCATATACTAACACCAAACTAAGGCTCAGCATGTCTCAGCAATACCTTTCAAAAATCAAGGCAACATTAATGTAGTACATGCTCCTCTTTCTATAACTTTCTATGAATGCTTTTTAACATACAAAATAAAAAGTCCTTCACTCATCTTTAACTCAAAACGAAACATGTAAACAGCATATAAACAATAAGATAACTCAGCCTAAATACCTCTCATCGGGAAAAAGAAGAGGTAAAGAAGCTCGGTTTCTCGGGCCTTGGTTTGAAATGGCTCGGGCTTTGCTGAGAGGGGCTGCGTCTTTGGTGCTACCGGTGCTGGTTTAGCCGCAGGTTATGCTCGGAAAAAGACTCCAGTAGTGCTCAACCTTGCTCTAGATTGCCTGGTTTCCTGGGTTGCACTCGGGCTTGTGTCTGCCGCCGCCATAAACTGGAGCTCTTCGGCCGCCGGACTGGTGCTCTTGGAGGCTGTCGGCGATGCTTTTGCCTCTGTAAAATTGGGCTTCAGCCGCGACAAAACGGGCCTGCTCGTAAGCCGCGTTGGAGGCTCTCAGTCGCGGTTTTACCGCCTTTTCCGTAAAGGTCTGCTCTCGACTTCGGGGCTGCATTTTTTTTTTTTTTNTTGATACGTCGTTGTCGCCGGTTTTTGGCTGGTTTTTGCTGAGGAAAAACTCTAAAATTTGGGCGTAGAGGCGATAGGAAAATGGGGTCGGCTGGGTTTTGAACCTTATTTAAGTAGAGGAAGTTTGCTGCTGAGATTGACGGCCGAAAAAATGGGGCAGAGGTGATAGGTTTTGAACCTTCACTTTTAAAAATTAAACTCCTTCCTTTTTATTTTTATTTTTATTTTTTTTCCTATTTCAGCGTAAGTCTTAAACAAAATCCTTTATTTTAGGATTGTATAATGGATTTTATTCTGGAGGATTAAAAATAATCCTTTATTTTAGGATGCATCCAATTTTTTTTGTATTTCAAATTAGAATCTGAATTGTTAATCACCGTAAGTGTTTAACCAAAATCCTCTATTTTAGGATTCTATTATGGATTTTATTATGGAAGATTGAACATAATCATTTATTTTAGGATGCATCCGATTTCTTTTAAAATTTCAAATTAGATTCCAAAATTTTTGGACGGCTAAGTAATTAGTGTTGAATCGAGAAAAAAAAAACATTCTTAAAATAGTATGCAATAAATGCTTTCCTAACTTTTTGGATTATTATTTTTGGTAAATAGTAATTATTATTATATATACTAGTACTAATCCCGTGCGATGCACGGTAAGAGATACTCATTAATATTTATAAATTAAAAATTCTTATTAAATAATATTTATAAATTAAAATATTGATTTTCAATAGTATTTATCAATTAAAAGTCCTCATTAAATAATATTTATAAATTAAAATATAGAATCAGTATATAATACAATTTACCTATATTAATTTATCGAAAATATTATATAAAATTTAAATTTTACAAAATTACATAATACATATCTATTTAAAATTAGTACACAACATGTATGGTGCACGTAACTGATAATAAATTTTACATTATATTCATTTAAAATTAGTACAGGACATGTACAACTCCTATAATAGTGTATTTTTAAACTAATATGATCTTTGAACAAAAGAAAAAAATAAAAATGATAGCATTTATTGGGATGGATGTTGTTTTTTTCACGTTTCTATTGCCAAAATTATATTTTTTCAAAATTCAAAACAAAAAATGTAGATAATGTGACCACGTACTTATCAAATTTAGCATTTCAAATCATATGTACTCGAAAGTTTAGATTCAGCTGGATTTGTAATTAAGAAAACAAAAATTCAACTAAGAAAATAATTGATGAAATAAATATAGTTTTGCATGGATATTAGATCCAAACAATCTTTAAGGATAAGATCACATTTCACAAAATATCAAAGTCAATTTAAACGTAAAAGATTTATTTAATTTGAATTTGAATTTTATAGAAATGTAATTGATTTAAAATCTCATTATGGAAATAACAACATGAAATTGCACCCAATCACAAGCTAAATCTTATTTCTGAAATGATTAGGCAATAACAATTGTGCACAACGAAAAGGGGGGAAAAGTCCCTTTCTAGGGTTAGAGTTCTCTCTTGAGAATCCCAGTTCCAGTGCTTGGATTTGCTATCGATGTTCCTCCTTGTGTGTTTAGTTCTAGATCTCAGGTCGTGCTGTGCTTGTTTGTCTTCTTGTTTGCTAGGGTTTGGTCACGGCTGGTAACTTCTTTTTCTGCTGTATGTTTTTTTTTTTTGGGTGGTCTGTACTCGGATTTCTACCTTAGTTTTGGTCTGAGGGATTGGGATAGATCTTGTTAGCTCCTTAGCTGGGTGGGCCTTGTTCCGGTCTTTGCGGATGCCTAATCGTCTTTGCGCTATATACTTTTGCATCTCTCTTGCTATTGATATGTTGAAAATAATGTGGACTTCCTGACTTGCTCTGGTAGATTGTGTTTTTTTGGGGTTCTCTTGTGTATGTGTGTGTCTCGTTGGATATGTGGTTTATTGGCTTTTTCATATTGCTTTGATTTCGTGGTGTTATCTGTGTCTGCTTGTGTTGAGATTGGTCTCTGGAGATCTGTGTTTTGTGGTGGCTGTTTTGGCGCGGTCTGGTCTGGGGTGGGTAGCTATGGATCAGGAATTGGCAGATAAATTGGCTAAATTTAAACTTTCTGATAAAGAGGGGATAGGTCTAGAGCTATCTGTTGTTGATATTGCTCCTAGTACTAAGGAATGTAAATTGAGCTTGATTGGTAAAATTTTTGGGGATAAAAAAGCTAATCTTAGTGGTTTAAAAACTACTCTGAGTAGTATTTGGGTCACTAAGAAGGAGTTTGTGATTAGAAGTTTGGGTAATAACAAGTTCCAGTTTATTTTCCAATGTGAGGAGGATAGGGATAGAATATTACAAGGTAAAACTTGGTCCTTTGATGGACAGTATATCCTTATGAAATTGTGGAGCCCTGGATCTAATGACTTCTCTTATGAGGAAGAAGTTGTAAAAATCTGGGTTCACATTGTGAATCTTCCTTTGCATTGGATATCTGTTGACACAGGGTTGAAGATTGGGAAGATTATTGGTAATACTTTGGACTTTCAGCTCCCTGGCACAAGTGATCAACTTGGGCAAATAGTGAAAGTTTTGGTTGAGGTTAATGTCAATGAACCCCTTCCTAGAGGCTCTCTTATTAGGGTTGGATCTGAAGCTACTTGGGTAGACTTCAAATATGAGAGTCTGCAAACTTTTTGTTTTTACTGTGGCAAGATTGGTCACTCTGATAGAAACTGTGTGACCAAATCCACAGATGTTAGGAATAATGAGTTGAATGTTGGACAATATGGGGAATGGTTGAGGGTTAGTCCTAGTTTCTCTGGGTTTGCTAGAAACTCTAGTTCCCTAAATAAGGGAAGTCAAGCTGGGGAATTAGATAAGTCTGGTAGAGCTGATCATAATGTGGTTAGGAGTGAGGAAGAAGAGGGTATTAGGAATAGTGTGGCTTCTAATCAGGAGTTGCAACAGGGGGGAGATTTAGGCAGCACTCAATTAGAGAACCCTTTGAATCCTGTGATTGTTCCCCAGGATAAGGAGGAGAGTCCTAAGAGTAATGGTCAGACTGATGATCCTATTGTGACTAAGAGTCCCCTGCTCACTGATGTTAGTTTGATTGAAGTAGCTATTAAGCCTGCCTCTGGGGTAGATAAGAATTGCCATAGGAAAAAAATTTCTGTCCCTAGGAAACCCAGACTGACTAAACAAGCTGTTGTGGAAGGCATGCAAGTTGATAAAGGGGGGGTGTCTAGTAGTAAGGTGGGAGAAAAAGTCTCTCTTAAGAGAGGTTGTGGGTCTTTACAGGAGGATGAGGTGTTAGTTGAGAGTGATTTGCACCTGGGTAAAAAAGCCAAACTGTCTGGGGACATGATCTTGTCTGAGGTGGAGGAAACCAGCCCAAACTGGTCCCACAGTTTCCAATGAAGGTTTCTGTGTGGAATTGTAGAGGTTTGGGAGGGCCCTCTACAATTTCCCAATTCAAGGAAGCCTTAAGGCTCCACCACCCTGATTTTGCTTTTTTGTCTGAAACAAAAAAAAAAAGAAAAATTTGTAGTTGCTATGTATAGGAAGCTTAAGTTAGGAAATAGATGGGTGTATGTTAGTCCTGTGGGTACTAGGGGTGGTCTTTTCCTGACTTGGTCTGATAATATATCTATTATAGTTATTAATAGGTTAGATTTTGGTTTAGAGGTCAGTTTCAAGTTTAAGGGGTTGGATGTCATTTTTTGGGCTGTTTTTATTTATGCTAGTACTGATAATGTAGTTAGAGCAGCTCAATGGGAAATCCTGGTTAGACATAGCTTGATGTGGGGCAGGTCTTGGTTTGTGTGTGGGGATTTTAATGATATCCTCTGTCAAGCTGATAAGAGGGGGGGGAGTGAGGAGAGAGGAAGCTAGTTTTACTGCCTTTAGAGACTTTGTTAGGGCTTTAGGGGTTGTGGAAACCAGGACTGTGGGACATCCATTTACTTGGTCTAATAATAGACAAGGAAGTGGGTTTGTGGAAGAGAAATTGGATAGATTTCTCTTCTCTCCTGATTGGTTTCTTCATTTTCCTAATGCTTTGGTGAAGCACATTAATCTTGTTTCCTCTGATCATTGTATGTTGTTATTGGTGTGTCTGTCTGATTTTGTTCCTGCTAGGAAGAAATTTGTTTTTGATGCTAGCTGGATTCATGGGGAGAATTTTAGTTCTGTGGTGGAGGAGGCTTGGAACAAGCCTGTTAAGGGCCATGCTCTTTTCAGCCTCCAAGATAGGCTCAGAAATGTCAGGAGTCAATTGTTGGTATGGAAAAGGTCTCATGTGCATAATGCTAAACTAGTGATTGATAAATGTAAATCTGAGTTGAATCACCTTAGAACTCTTGGAGGGGATAGAGATTGGGCTAATTGGTTTGCTAAGAAAGCTGAGTTACATCTAGCTTATAAAACTGAGGAGAATTTCTGGAAGCAAAAAGCTAGAGTGCATTGGTTGCAGGAGGGGGATAGGAACTCTAAATTTTTTCATGCTTGTGTGAATCAGAGAAGGAAGATTAATAAATTAGATTGCATTTTAAAGAGGGATGGAACTCCATGTTTGAATTCTCATGATGTGTTATCTGAATTGTTGGCTTACTTTGAGAATATCTTTAAATCCTCTAACCCTTTGGATGAATTATGTTCCTTGGATGGTATTTCTTGCTCTATTACTGATGATATGAATGCTGAGTTAACCAAAATTGTGGATGAGGCAGAAATTAAAACAGCTTTATTTGATATGGCCAAAGATAAGGCTCCTGGAGCTGATGGTTTCACTGCATTGTTTTTCCAAAACTCTTGGCCTATTTTGAAACATAATGTGTGCCTTGCTGTGGATAATTTTTTTGCCCAAGGTAGAATGCCTAGAGGTTTGAATCATACTGTGATAACCTTGATCCCTAAGAAGGAGAACCCTACTTGTGTTGCTGATTTTAGGCCCATTAGTTTGTGTTCTGTAGTGTATAGACTCATTGCTAAAGTGATGGCTAATAGAGTGAAACCTGTGTTGTCTGTTTGTATTTCTAAATCTCAATCTGCTTTTGTCCCAGGAAGGCAAATATTAGACAATGTGATTATAGCTAATGAATGTATTCACTTTATCAATAGCAAGAGAAAGGGTAAAATGAACTATATGGCTGTGAAGCTTGATATGGCTAAAGCATATGACAGGGTGGAATGGGGTTTTCTAGCTAGGGTTTGTAGGCAAATGGGATTCTGTTCTACTTTCATCTCTTGGATATTGGCTTGTGTGTGTTCAGCTTCTTATTCCTTCAATATAGATGGGTCTCCTTTGGGTTTTGTTTAGCCTACTCGAGGTTTAAGACAAGGGGACCCTTTGTCCCCTTATTTGTTTATATTAGTATCAGAGGCTTTCTCTTCTTTGATTCATCAAGCTTGCATTTCTGGTCAGTATCATGGTATTAAAATTGGTCCTCATGCTCCTAGTATATCCCATCTTTTCTTTGCGGATGATTCTTTGTTGTTTTGTAAGGCTGATATGCATCATGCCCACCTTTTGGTTTCTATTTTGGCTAAGTATGGGAATGACTCGGGTCAGTTAGTTAATTTTGACAAGTCTTCTGTTTTCTTTTCCAAAAACATGCAAGAGGATCAATGTAGCAATATCTGTAATGCACTGTATGGGATCTCTAGAGTTTCCTCTTCTAGGTATCTTGGGCTGCCTTTAGGCATTGGTAAAAATAAGAGAGAGACTTTCAATTTCCTCTGTGAGTGTGTTCAGAACAAAATAAAAAACTGGAAAAACAAATTCTTGAGTGAGAGTGGTAAGGAAGTGTTGATTAAAGCAGTTTTGAATGCTCTTCCTACTTACATTATGTCTTGTTTTAAAGTTCCAGTTAGCATTGTTAGGAAAATTTGTCAAAACATTGCTGATTTTTGGTGGGGTTGCAATGAGAGAGGGGGAAAGAAAATCCATTGGGTGGGTTGGGATAAGATGGTGAGAGATAAAGACAAGGGTGGTCTGGGCTTTAAGGATCTCATTGCTTTTAATGATGCTTTACTTGTGAAGCAATTATGGAGATTCATTACTCAGCCAAACTTGTTGGTTAGCAAGGTCATTAAGGGTAAATACTTTTGGAGAGATAGTTTATTCACTGTGAAGTCAAAGCCTTATGACTCTTGGCTTTGGAAGTGTTTATTGAGTGTTAGGAAATTTCTGGTTGGGGGTGCTAGGTATAGAGTGGGGGATGGGTTATCAATTTCTATATGGAATTCTCCTTGGATTCCTGATTGCCCTAATTTTAAACCCAGCTGTTATTTTCCTGAAGATAGGGTTAGATTGAATAGGGTGAGTGAGATGATTAGAGAGGGTAGCAGAGAGTGGGACTTAGATTTGATCTGTCAAACTTTTCACCCTGATGTTGCAGCTGCTATTATTAGTATCCCTCTTTCTGATCCTGCTGGCCCTGATCAGTTGATGTGGCATTGGCATCCCAAAGGGCAATTTTCAGTGAAGGAGGTGTACAAATTTATCATGAAGCAGAAAGCAAGTAATCAGGGGGAGGCTAGTGCAAGCAGAGACCCTACAATTATTCCAAAGATGTGGAGGGTTACTTGGAAACTGAATGTCAAGCATAAGGTTAGGAATTTTATTTGGAAATGTTGGTTTGGCCATCTGAGTTCAACTGATCAACTTTTGAAGAGAGGTATGAGTGTTGATGGCACTTGTGCTATTTGTGGAGAGGCTGAAGAGGACTTAAACCACATCCTATTTAATTGTCAGAGAGCCAAAAACTGTTGGAAGTTATGTGGGATAAGCTGGTGTCTGCAGAAGGCTGGGTTTGTGGATTTTCAGCAATGGTGGCTGAAACTTTGTTGTGCTAAGAACCTGAGAATGAAAGAAGAGAGGCTGGGTTTGTCTGTGTTTATGCTGTGGCACTTGTGGAAGGCCAGGAATAAATGGGTGTATAAGGGTGACTGGTTTAATGACTACCAGGTTGTAGAAGAGGCTAAATCTGAATGGTTGGAGTGGCTATCAACCAAGCCTGCTAACTTGATCAGAAGTAAAGGACTGTCACGTGATGATTCTCAGATGGATGAATTTTTCAAGGAGGTAGGTCAGTCAGTGATGACTTTCAGTGCTTTAACATCCTCTGCTGGAGAGTTTTTTGTGGAATGTTCCTTTCATCAGCAAGGGCTACAACAAGTTCACTGGTGCAGAGATTTCCCAGGAGTGGTGCAGGAAGATGAAGGATGGCTGAGGGCAATTGGGTGGGGTTTGTCTCAAGCCAAGAGTAATAACTACAAGAATTTTTCTCTCCTTCTCCACTCTGCAGAATTGGCTGACTTGGTGTCTAGAAGTTTAGGTGACAATGAGGGTGTTTGTTCAGATTTGGCTTTGATTAGGGATTTGCTGTTATCTTGTAATGTTTTTATTGATACTGTGTTTTAATTTGTGCTGTATTCCTGTTATTGTTGTTATTGGCATGGTGCCTTGTAGAGCTAGGTCTCATCTAGTTCGTGCTTTAGCTTCTGCATTTGTAGGGGTTGTAAAGTTATAGCCATTTGGCTACCAACATTATTTTCAAGTTTTATGCAGTTTGATTGCCTTCTGGAAAAAAAAAAGAAAAGGGGGGAAAATGACACCATGTGAAGTGGAAAAGAATAGGAGCCCACATTCAGTATTTTAGCCAGGTGTTCAAATTCATACAAAAGTTGACGGGAGAAAAAGTTGCAAGAAGTATTGCCACAGGATATGCAGTCAAACACAATTATTGTTCTGTTGTGCAAATTATGAGAATGCCAAGATATGTAGGCCAAAAATCCAATATATTATCTTCTATCTTTAGGGGACAACTTAAAAAAGAAAACAAATGAAGGGAAAACAACAATCAAAATCTTGGGACAGAAGAAGATTGTATACCTGATGACCCTGACAAATGAGGTCTAGATCATTATATTCCAAGAACTCGACAACCTCATTGGGCGAAAAAATATATCAAATGCCCTTATCACTATCAGCTCAGCCCATTGCCCTAGGATCAGGGTCAGACCGAAACAGATCACACATGAGATCATTATACGGTATGCCAGTGGGCCTTGGGAGCTCAGTTATCTAATCCAAGTGATCCAGCTCCGGAGAAACAGTTTAAGAAGTCGGTGAAGGCTTTCCAAAGTCGAACATTGAATCTCCTCGTACATTCGTCATAGAATCCACATATACAGTTGATTTGGCTTCTTCATGGTTTCCCCTCAAGAGGAATATCTTTTCAGGATACCTTAACTTGTAAGCCAATAGTAAGCATATTGTTTCGATACTCTGCTTTCCTCTATCAGCATAATTTGCATCAAGAGCATGCCCACATACTCAGAAATCCTCAATAGGTTATGATATTGTCCATGCATGTCACCTGTGGCAGAAATATGAGAGAGGCATCAAACTTAGGATTGATGCAGCTATACGTGATTACTGTGGATATATGCCTAATTTGTCAGCATCTGTTTTAGCTAAGCAAGCTTTAAATAAATGTTTCTTGTCTCTTTTTGCACCAGAAGTAATTGAAAGATGTTCATATAGATTAATGCATGATTGATTGCCTTACTCTTGAAACAGAACACCTAACCACAAAAGAAGCATTACGGAACAAACAAAATCCATCCAGTCAAAATGCTAAGAGTTGTCTATTTGGATGAGTGACTGATGATCGTGTACCAAGCCAGATATTTTACTCACAGTTGTATAAGAACTCATAAAGAATCGGATATTCAAACGTCTACGTCTAATAGTGCTGCCACAAGAAAATACCGAGACAAACTTCTAAGAATCGAATATACAAACTTCGAATAATGATGCCACAAGATAATACCGAGACAAAACATGTATGTCACTATTCTAAACTTTCACCAATTGCTACATGTTAATAAAAGGACTTGAGCAGTGAAATCATAGAGAATCCCCTCTATCATATTATAATGATATAATATTACTAATATTGCAGTGTTTTTAAACAAAACCACCTAATTGAATTCATGTCAGCAAAACCAGCAGAATATGTGAAAATCATTGATATTAACCTCACAATCACGAAGCCATGATTAATTTTATTCATGGCAATATCTCAGTGAATAACCCACACGAATCGAATTTTTTAATGAACAATTGCGAGCAAATTTGTTTGGATATGATACCATTTATCTTGCCAGTGTGAATACACGAGTTATGAATAAAATCAACTCAACTAAAACTTGATCAGATTACACAAAAACAACCCACAAATCCCACCTCATAATTATGCACAACCAATATCACATTTTTCCGCTACAACAGGCGAAATCATCATCCCAAAATCAAACACATTTTNAATGTGGTGGATCTTCGCCTCCGACAACGGAACCGTTCCTCCTGACAGGTCCAAGCAGCCCACTGCCTCGGTTGTTTCTTTTCTATTGCATTTTAAGACATAAGATAAGCAAAGCTTTTTGTTTTATGTTCAAGAAAATGAAAACTAAATTATTCATCAACAAAAAAAAAATTATAAAAAAAACAATAAAATTACCTTGACGAAGTGGCAGCACTTCATCATCTGTCGGAAATCGCCGAGTCGCCACCTAAGTCCACCCTGACGATCATACTCCGGTACTCCTCCGGCGTCTTCACCCACTTCATCCCCAGCGCCGCCCGCACCGACCTCCGCTCTTCCGCCGTAATGAACCCGTCCCTCCCCAATCGAAAATCCTAAATGCCTCCCCACGTCCTCTTCACCTCCGTCTTCCAATGCCGCCGCGTACAGGGCGCCGAACTCCTCGGCGTCCACCTAGGCGTCCCCGTCTATGTCAATCTTTCTGATCATCGTCCGCAGCTTCTCCTTCAACACGCAGATCACGAAAGCTCCTCCCCGCCATCACCGTTCACAGAGCATGGAGAAGACCCAATGGAGCTCCACCGTGCGCATCTCCTCATGTCGATCCCTAATTGGAGAAATGGTTTGGATTGGATTTTGGGAGAATTAGTTTGGGTATGATTTGTTTGGATCTGATTGTGGGAGAGACGGCGAAAGAATTGATTTTGGTTGGAAATAAATTTGCAGTCGAGTTTTTAAGGGGTTTATAAGTTTGAACGTTGTTTTTGCCAATATTTTGACTTCACTGCGCTTCGCTTCGTACGTTGGGTCGAACAAAGTTGAGCTTTGGTGAGCCCTGTCATTTCAGCATTTGACTTTATCAACCTTTCATCAAATTTCCCTTTATTATATGAATTTGCGCGTTTTTCTTTGATATTTCAAAAATTGCGTTAAAACCCCCTTATATTTAATATTAATGGTGACGGCGTTACTTTTTTGTCGAATTTACCATTCCACCTCTACTTTATCAATGCATTTGACTTTATCAACCTTTCATCAAATTTCCCTTTATTATATGAATTTGCGCGTTTTTCTTTGATATTTCAAAAATTGCGTTAAAACCCCCTTATATTTAATATTAATGGTGACGGCGTTACTTTTTTGTCGAATTTACCATTCCACCTCTACTTTATCAATGAATTTACCATTATGCCCTTATTATCAAATATGTTGACTTAAAAATAAAGTATCAATGATGGAGATTGAACGTCGAATTTACCATTCCACCTTTATTTTATCAATGAATTTACCATTATGCCCTTATTGTCAAATATGTTGACTTGAAAATAAAGTACCAATGGTGGAGATTGAACTCATGACCTTTGGGCTGTAAAAGTAAACTCTCCACAACTAAGCTACTAGTCATTTAGTTATAGAGGTGATTTCATATATATATATATATATATCATGTCTAACAAAAATAATATAATAAATTAATATATTATAAATTATAAATAATATAATGATTGCATACATATTATTCTATATTATAAATAATAAAACGATTCATTAAATATATATGAAATTAAAATAAATAAATGAGTGAATAAATTAATTCTACAATATAAATAATATAATAATTTAGTATGTAGATTTTGTAATAATTGAATAAATAGATTCAAAATTATAAATAATATAAAAATTAAGTAAATATAATCTAAATTATAAGTAATA